TGAGCCACCGCGCCCGGCTCACAAACCACTTCTTTAGCTCACTCATTTCAGCCCGCACTGAAGGTGTGACTCTTGGTTGACATCCCTCCACTCTTGGGCGCAGCTGTGTCTTAGGGGTTGAGGCTGTGTGAGCCCCATGCCAGCAGGGAGCACTCTCCAGGTGTCTTGCTGTTATCTTCACACTTACCTGCAGGCTGCAGTGTTGCCATGATTATCACCCAGCCCATGCACCAGGTTGGGTTTTCCCAGCGTACAAACAGGTTGGGTGGAGGTTTCAGGTAGACACTGAATTCCTAGAGCAGACAAAGGAAATGTGGGAGGTTAGCGCTGAGCTCCAAGAATAAAGTTAAGCAAGCCAAATGCCTTCACGAGGCCTCCATAATGTTTGTTAAAAAGCTCACCGCTGGCCTTTCTGGCCTCAGTTTCTTCATCTGCAGAATCCATGGGCTAACCGTGGGTATATCTAAGGCTAATTCTTTACCCTGAAGATTCAGGTTCTGGATATACGTTTCATTAAAAGTATCTAGGGCCTCAGTAGCTTAGAACTCTGATTTTGCACAATTCTGATAAAAGTATAAAATGTGTGAATATGAGGGCAGCAGTCTTGGTAATAAGGAAAAGCCTGGGATAGGGCTGGAAACCTGGTAGTTGCAGAGGCCCTTCAGGGGGTCCCTTCCCATTGATTAGCCGGGGCTGGGGCAGTCAGAGCGTGCTGGCCTCGTGGAGTTCATACAGCAACAAAAACAACAAGAAACCCAGCAGCAGGGACAGAAAATCCCCGCGAAGTCTGTCTTCTGCAGCTAACTCTCAGTCCACCCCTCTCTCTCCACACCTTGTCCTTCCCTTCCCAACCCCATTCACACCCTTCCAGGGGAGAATGTGCAAGGAATGTCTCCTTTCCTGAAAGCAGGGGAATACAGTAGTGCCTCCTGGGTCTGCAGGGCCCTTGGTTCTGCTGTTTAATGACTAATTATGATGCTATGAGAGGCCTATGCGACTCTGGTGGAGCCAGGCCCTCCTGCCCCAGCCAAGCTGAGCGGCTGGAAGTGTATAATCTTCAGAAAGCTGTGACTGCGACCTGGAGTTGCGTAAGAAATAATTGCAGAATCCAGCCAGGGCTTGCTTCTTGCCACAGGCTCCAGGCTTTTACCCCCAGTAGCTTTACATGCTTGTTAATTTTTAAACTGTGGAGTAGTAGCAGAATATTTTGTAAGCTTCAGTAATGGTTGCAGAGTTCAGTGCAGGGCAAGGGGAGAGGAAAGGGAGGGCAAGGGAAGGAGGCGAAGGAATGAGTCCCATTTGCTTCCAGAAGGTTTGCTTTCTGCAAACCTTGGCCCTGTGGTAGGTCTAAACTTTCCTTTTACCGTAGAAAAGGAGTTTAAAAACAGACAAGCCCTGTTAAAGTATCTCGATTTTAAAAAACCAGTTCTTTAAAAAAAATCCTTTGCAGTACTCAATATCTTACAAAAGAGACCTCCTGTATTATTTTAACCTTAAAAGGCAAGTGAAAAAAAGATTCATGTAGCTTCTGGTCAGCTACCAGAATCTTAAGGGGAAGAAAGAAAGCTTTCTATCTGTTAAAAGTCTTGCATGCACTGGCGACAAGGCCTGATGCTCTAATCTGCTCAGACTGCCGAAGCTCCCAGTCTGAATCTGTGGCCTTTAGAAAGGCAGCCTCTTGACCTCCAAGTATGTCTCCTCTGCAAAATCAGGGCGCGTCCTCAGTCTGTCTGTGTACTTTTGTGGCGCCTATCACTGTGGGATCTGGGCTCAGAGACAAAAACATCAGGCAAAATACAAATTTGTGTATTATGGGAGGAAATGCCGTCTGGCTCCCTGGAGTCACCCTTGACTTACAAGCAGTGAGGACTTTACCCAGGGTGGTTTGCATAGCCTAAGAAAAAGTGTGGACGAAGCCAACCTTACAGTACTTCCTTGTTTTCATTTCGAAAAGAGGCAACAAGTTGGTGTTTGTGAAGTTGAGTAAAATTACTAAAGCTTTAAAATGTGCTGCTAGCTTTTTCCATTGAAACAGGTAACAGCCTTCTCAGCCTTCTACTGAAAAGAATGAGGAGGTTTCTTCTCTCTTCTTTCCATTCCTTCCTCCTTCCCTCCTCCCTCCTTTAAACCTTTATGTTTTCCTTCCCTCTCTTGTTTTCTCCTCCTTTTTCCCTTTTGTCTTCTTCCCCTTTTAGTAAACTATGTTTGTTTTAACAATAAAGCAATGCACATTAATGATAACAATGACTTCTTCCAAGTAGAATAAAAGAATGTAAGGTGAAAGATAAAATGCTTCTCCAAAGATATACTCAACAGCATATTTCAGAACCTTTCCACAAGAGCTTAAGAGTCCACCCATGCTTAGTAGTCCATTGTGTGGTTTGTATCCTAACGCATTTAACCAGCTTCTTAAATTGATATTAACAAGTTATTTTCCCCACATTTGGGGAGATTAGAAACAATACAGCAGTACGTGTCCTGGTACACTTGCACTTTTTGCACAGACGAGAGAACACACCCTTAGGCTAAGTTCCTAGCAGTGAAATTGCTGGATCAAAGGGTATGTAAATTTTACATTTTAATAGATATTGCCAAATTGCTGTGCAAAAAAGTGTACCTATTTACAACCCTATCAACATTATATGAACTGCCTATTTCCTCAAAACCTTACCAACTCCATGCACTATGAAACGCTTAAATCTTTGCCAATAGGCAATAAATGGCAAATAATTATTGCTGTGATTCATGTTTCAAGTATGGAACACTGAACACTTTTTCACCTGTTTATGGCCTATTTGCATTGTTTTGTGGAATCTGGCTTTGACTACTGTTTATTTGTATTTTTTTTTTGTCTTAAAAATTGACTTTAAAAGCTTTATCGTTACTTTTATTTGTCAGATAGGCTACAAATATGTTTCTCATTTGTCTGTTGTTTAAACAAATAGAAGTTTACTTTATTTAAGGACTCAAAGTTACCTGCTTTCCCTTAAAAAGCATTTGGGGTTTGTGCCGTGCACAGATGAGCCCTGCTTACACACAAAAAAGGCTTAGGACTCTTCTGTTCTTTCCCCCAGAGCTCTTGTGGGCTTGCTTTACACATGGGAATCTTTGCTGTTTTACAATGTGTTCTGGTGAATGGAGTGAGGTGGGGACTGGGTTTGAGAAGATTTTGTTGGCTCCATGTGGTTTTGCAAATCAACCTGCTGCTCCAGTGTTACGCTGCAGAGGGAAGGTTTGGTGGCTCCTTGGGAGTTAAAAGGATCTGTGCAGGCTTTTTGTAAGATCCGGCAGAAGCTTACTCTTCTTCTTGGTTAGAGTATTCTGCTCTTGGGCCAGGCGTGATGGCTCATGCCTGTAATCCCAGCACTTTGGGAGGCCAAGGCAGGTGGATCACGAAGTCAGGAGTTTGAAACCAGCCTGGCCAACGTGGTGAAACCCTGCCTCTACTAAAAATACAAAAAATTAGCCAGGCACAATGGCGCGTGCCTGTAATCCCAGCTACTCAGGAGGCTGAGGCAGGAGAAATGCTTGAACCTGGGAGGCGGAGGTTGCAGTGAGCTGAGCTTGCGCCACTACACTCCAGCCTGGGCAACAGAGTGAGACTCCGTCTTAAAAAAAAAAAAAGAATATTCTGCTCCTATTCTGGCTAACCTTTGAAGGAGGTCTCAAACAGTACAGGGAAAAATAGCAAGAAGACAGGGGGAGAAAAATGGAAAATTGAGGGCTTCTGGGGAAAGGGAGAAACACAAACTTAAAATGGGATTAATAGCTCATATGCACAAACCTTAGAGCTAATAGGACCTATTTCTATTTTGACAACATGAACATAGAAGACAGAATCACTGAGCTGAAAAAGCAATTGAGCAGATGAATTATCTTTATCTTTTTCCATCTAGTTATGCTTGAAAGAAAGTAAGGAAATTAAAAAATTTTTTGTTAGTTTCATTTCAATAATTTTGCAGTGTATTTTTTTTTGGTTTAACAGATGAAAAGTCTTATGGGAGAGTCAAGACATTTCATTCAGTATATAGCCCAGGTTTTTAGTGTTCCTCCTACAGTTTCTAAATGTGTGGGGTGTTTTCCCTTTAAAGACCAAACACGTTAATTGCAGTAATCAGAGGTTTATATTTCTTGGCATGAATGATATGATATGCATGTTGGCAAAGACCTACATGACTTTGATTTGCAGCATAAATAGTATAATCCTGTAGATCAAATTCCAGGTAATTTAGTTAAAAGTTACTGAAGCCATCTTTCCCCCAAGTGTCTACCTCACGGTAAACTGTGTAATTTGTATAATAATTATAGGTTGATTGATGAGGATTTGACTTCCTCATTAAAGGTTAAGGTACACTTGTACTATTATTAATACTGATTACCATTTGTTGCGTATTCACTCTGTATTATATACTATACATTTACCATACTCAATAAGTAGTTATGGGTGTGCATTGTGTGTGTGTGTGTGTATGTGTATGTGTGTGTGTAAAAGAAAATAAGGAAATTAAAAACATATATATATTAGAATTTCATCCTCATGTCTTACAAGGCCTGCAAGCCCAGGTCCATTGTATTTACTCTATAGATGAAGAAACAGAGGCTCAAGTAGACGAATTACCTGGTATAAGATTACACAACTATTGAGTGCACAGTTGGGAATCTAATTTAAGACCATTTGACTTCAAACTCTGTGTCCTTTCCATGATTTCATACTGTCTGTCCCTTGCCCCAAAGACAGACCCAGATGCAATGAGAAGCAGGACCATTTCCATTGGAAGTTTAATTTCACATCAGCTTAAGGAGTCCAAACCAACCACAGCTTCTCCTGCCACCCCCTTCATCAGTTCTGCAGTCTACTTGTTGCTATGGAAACCACCTGTCTGAGGGTCCCAGGAGCCTCCATCCCTGCCCCTCAGTAGTGTTCCAACTCATATTCCATTGTTTATTTCCAGGGCTGTAAAAACCATCTCTGTGCTGATGTTTTCTATCTACTTCTCCAGCCCAGATGGTTCCTGAACTCCAGACAAGTGTATGCACCTGATTCCCTGACAGCCCTCCTTAGATGTCCTGTCGGCGACTCAAACTCAGTGTGTCTAATGCCCAACTCTGCACTGTGGTCTGGGCCAGGAAGAGTGCCTATGGCATGCTTTTGGGTAAGTCAGAAAAATGCATGCTTTTTTCAAAATATCTTCTTTTCATTGGTGAAAAATTATTGTCACTGATATACAAAGTTTTTATGACTGTGACATGAATGGCATCCCGTTTATATGTGCATTGCATGAAGAGTCTGACTGCATGCATGCACACGCACGTGCACACACACACATACACACACACACACAATGCAAAGCCGGCCCACCTTGGTCCCCTGGATGCCCAGATGGCCTCACTGTCCGTCCAGTGTCTTCTTCCTGAGCTCTACCTCCAGCCATCTCCCAGCCTGCAGGGACCCTGCCCACTCTTCATCCCCACCATGGCATGCTGATTCAGTGCTCTTGCCTCACTTGGATGGTTGCAACAGCCTCTAGCGTTGCTGCTGGTTGTGTCCCCTCCATTCTGTTTTTCCTTGAGCAGCAAGAATCATCTTTGTAGAGGATGACATCAGTCTTTTGCTAAAAGCCTTTTGGCTATTCCCCACTATCTTCAGAATGCAGAGTGAGGTCCTCGTGGTCTGGTTCATGTCTACCTCACTCCCTGGCCTCCTTTCCTACACACCACAGGTTCTGCAGTTGCGTGTACGTGGACGATTTGCCCTTCCCTGAATGCGCTGTGCTTCTCCCGGCTCCATGCCAGTGCACATGCTGCTCCTTCCATCTGAAAAGCTTCCTTTCCACTCCTTAGCTCTTCAACTGCAGCTTAGTCATCATTCAGGTTTCAGTGTGAGACCACTGCTTCCAGGAAGCTTCTCCAATCCTGGCAGCCTGAGAGCAACACACCTCGTATGTGCCCACGTGGCATTTGGGACTCACCTCCATGTTTACAGGGAGAGCCAAAGGGCAGGGACTATATTGCACCTTGGCTTTTTCTCTAGTGCTTGGTGCCTGGCAGGTACTGAGGTGTCCACAAAACTTGGCAACTGCACTAAGGTCCATGGAAGAATTTCATCTTACCCTTGGATTGCCTACTCATATAATTCATCTAGAATCTCTTTATTGTATTGAAAGCATTTGAGAAGCCAAAAAGCCATAGATACAAAAGAAAAGTATGACAGCCATTATTGAAATACATAAGGAACTCCTCAATGACTCAATAACAAGAAATCAAATAATCCAATTTAAAAATGGGCAAAGGACGTGAATAGACATTTCTAAGGAGACTTACAAATGGCCAACAAGTATGTGAAAAAATGCTCAACATTACTAATCATCAGGGAAATGCAAATTAAAACTGTAATGAGATGTCATCTCACACCTGTTAGAATGGCTGTTATCAAAAACAGTTAAATGCTGATGAGGATATGGAGAAAAGGGAACCCTTGTACACTGTTGGTGGAAATGCAAATTAGTACAACCAGCATGGAGAACCGTATAGAAGTTCCCCAAAAAATTTGAAATAGAACTACCATAGGATCCAGTGCGTGTATATTCAAAGAAAATGAAATCAGTATGTTGAAGAGATCTCTGCACCCCCATGTTCACTGCAGCACCATTTACAACAGGCCAGATGTGGACTCAACCTAAGTGTCCATCAGTGGATGAATGGAGAAAGAAAAGTGTAATGGTATAAATATACAATGTAATACAATTCAGCCAGAAAGAGAAGGGAATCCTTTCATTTGCAACAATGTGGGTGAACTTGGAGAACATTTGGCTGAATGAAATAAGCCAGGCACAGAGAGACAAATACTGCCTGATTTCACTTATATGTGGCATCTAAAAAAGTTGAGCTCATAGAAACAGAGACTAGATGGTGGTTAACAAAGGCTGTGTGTGGGGGGTGTTGGAGAGATCTTGGTCAAAGGGTGCAAAGTTTCAGGAGAAATATGTACCGGAGATCTATTATAAAGCATGATGACAATAGTAAATGATAATTTATTGTGTGCTTGAACATTGCCAAGAGAGGAGATCTTAAATGTTCTCACCAATGTGGTGATAGGTATGCTAATTAGTTTGATTTAAACATTCCATAATGCATGCATATCAAATCATCACTTTGTATATAATCATATGTAAAATAACGAACAAATCACTCTTTAACCTGAGCCTGGTGCTGTACAAACCCTCAAATAGGGGAGACCTGCCCTTCCATGATTCCTGCTTCATTTATGATGGCATTAAAAAGTTCCTTTCATAAAGGAGACTATGAATCTCTCTCTCTCTCACTCTACCTTCCTCTCTCTCCCAGAATTAATTCTAGGTATAACTTTAGGTGATAGAAATGCAGAGCCTTCGGGATGAACCAGACAACTTTATCATGCTCTTAGAGTTCAGGCTTATCAACTGTTCATTTCCATCCCTAAATAATAACAGCTAAATTTAAGTAGTGCTTACTATGTGTCAGGCACCGCTCCAAGAACTTTGCATGTAATCACTCATTTAACCTTTACAAGAATGCTGTGAGGTGATTACTATTATTATCCCCATTTTATGGGAGAGGAAACTGAGGCACAGAGAGGTTACCTACTCAAGGTTACAACAGATGACACATGATAGGGCTGGGATTCAAATGTGGGCAGGCTGACTTCAGAGTCCATGCTCTTAATCACTGAACATCATAGTCTCTTAACTCTGGAGTCTTTAACTTTGGAAGTCAGCTCTAGACATAAGTGCTATTACTGGATTAAAGATCCCATGGTAGGCCCCCTGGGACCAAAGGCCCCTGTCACCAGGCAAAGGCCAGTGACTCAACAGCTGAGCCTCAAGGCATGGGGATCCCCATCTCAGCCTCTGTGGTGGGCTAGAACAGGCTCCCACTAGCTCACAGCACAGCAGCCAGGGATTGCATGTGCAGGAATGTCCCATCCAGTGTTTGGCTGCTGATGGTTTGAGATGGGCCATTGTGAGTACATTTTCACCATGGAATTTGGCAAATGCTACAAGCCAGAGACCATCTCCTAGATCAGTGTTCCTACTGCAGGATTCCAGTCTTGACTGAAAGGGCCTGGTGTGGGTGCAGAGAGCCTGCAGGGCTGAACTTCAGTGGGGTGGGTATTAAATGCTTTCAGCTGCCATATCTGCTGGAAGGTTCTCTCTAAAGGCATAGGAAGTCTTCAGCTCAATGCATGGCAGTGGAGACATGACCCCACCAACCCCAGGACCTCTCAGCCAATCACCCCCTTATCTATCTCTGGTGGGGTCATTCCCAGGCAGGTGTATCATACCATCCCCACAGTTTCTTCATGTCCTTCAGCACTAGCCACTCCCAGCAGTAGCTGGCTGGACACCTCATCCGTATCTGCTGTTTTCTGTTTACCAGCTCACTTCCCTCCTCCCCTACTGGTATTTCTGGCACTACCAAGTTAACTTGTGCTCCAACTCTTTTACTAAGACAGGGGTTGATAAGATAGGTCCCCCTGCATGCCATGGTAGGGAGTCCTTTGACAGCTGAGGGTGCAGTCCGGCTTGATCTCCGCTTCAGGGCCAGGAAGCTCGGCTGCCATAAAATAAGATTGGCTGTATGAATTTCATTTTTTTGTGGGGAGAACATTTCAGATCTCTTCTCTTAGCAATTTTGTTATGACACTGCTGGCTACCACAAGGATCATGGATTGTTTCGTTCATACCCGACACCTCTGCTAGTGAGATGGGAAGCTGAGGCAGGGGAACTGCTTGAACCATGGACGTGGAGATTGCAGTGAGCTGAGATCCTGCCACTGCACTCCAGCCTGGGTAACAGAGCGAAACTCTCCGTCTTAAGTATGTAAATAAAATGCTAAGAACAGCAGCAGGATTGGGTTTCTTTTTGCAGACTGCCATTTGTCTTTTCCCCGAGCCGGGGCTGCCCTTGCACCTCTTGCTCCTTACTTTGAAGACTTGATTCTGTGGCTTTGCTGCCCCGCTGCTGGGTTTCATGGTGCGTGACCCTGACTGCCCACCATGCCTTTCTTGCCTCGCTGTAGATAACTGCATGGCTGACTGCCCGCCAGCGAGCCAGGGGAGAACCCTTTTCTCCAGGGAAGATGTGGTAAAGTCTGATAGAGTTCCCCTTGAGGAAACGAGTGACATGTGCTCATTATTGCCATTCTGACAGAGCTGAGAGAGCTTGGGGCTCCTAAGTAGGCATTCCTGGAGCCTCCTTGAGGACGGCAGTGTGAACCGTTGCTGGAGGTGCAAGAGTCAAGGCTTTTCCAGCAGGACACATCAGGGAAGCTGCCTGTTTGAACCAGTCTGCTCCCTGGGTCTGGCAGGGAACAGAGAATGGAGCTGATATGTTTGAGGACATGGATCCTGTTTATCCTTTAGATTCCTTGTGACTTAGAGCTAAAGCCTGGCTTTGGCTACTGGGCATGCTTGACACTAACAATGTGTTTTCCTTCTCCAGAAGGGCAGAGAGAGGAAGTGAGGGGAGGGAGTAAGGATTCCGGACCTCAGCACACTGGCTGACCCAGGAGCCGACTAGAGGGGTGTGCATGGGGGTTGGGGGGGTTGGGGGGGCCTCTTCCCCGACTCACTGCAATCCTGTTTGCCTTGTATTACTCCTGTTCCCCTGGAGCCTGGGTTCTAAACATAGACTGTATGTTTTATTAAGCCTGGGTTTGCTTTATAACTTTAGGTAAAAAGCTGTAGGCAGCAGGAAAATGATCCGTGAAAGGAATTTAAAAGCACATTTATTTAAGTACAGATGGTCCCCGACTTATAATGATCCAACTTACAATTCTTCAACTTTGTGATGAGTTTATTGGGTTGTGACCACACTGTTAAGTCATGGAGTATCTGAACACACTGGCATTGATTCATGTCCTGGGACAAAGGAAGAGGGACCCCCAGAAGGGAAAACTGATTGTGACCTCTGGGTGGTATAGCGTCACATTTGCTATATTAATTGAATTTACTGCTGGTCACCACAAGGTTCATGGATTGTTTCACTCATGCCTAACACCTCTGCTAGTGAGGGGCAGAAAATCAAATGCTAAGATTGACAGCAGGGTTTTCCTTTTGCAGACTGCCATTTGTGTTTGTCTGTGGACAGGTGTGTTCAGTACACAGACTGAGTCCTCCAAGGCTTACAAGCTGGTCCACTTGGACCTTGCAATTAACAGAGGTGTGAGGAAGGGAACATTGTGTTTGTCCTGGATCAATAATTCCCGCTGTCTCCCTCCCTAGTCCCCCTTCCCCCAATTTTTCCCTTTTTGTAGAAATTATGCCCCATTTTTATTATGTAATTCAACAGAATGACTCAAAGGGTGATATTTCAGGCAGCAGAGTGAGCTAGGGTGGGGGTTTGGGATTGGTGAGGCAAACAGAAAAGTGTGTGAAGAGAGATCTTATCGGGCAGAGAATTTGGGCTTCCTTCTGAATCACTCTGTGCAAACAGCCAGCCATTGGGCCTGCTTGTGGGCTGGGTCTTGATTCTATTGAATCAACTGTGACTAAAAGATATGGTAGTTTTAATTTCCTGTGACTCACGAAAGAGCCTTATTGGGCAAGGTTTGTTCTAGGCCCCAATCTTTTGGCTGAAACACTTCAACTTTGCTCATGGACACAACTGGAAGAGGGGACTTGGGCCGCCAGACGTCTCTTTTCAGTCACACCTCATCGTGAGGTTGCATTTTAGAAAACATGGGCTCAGATTTATCTTTGCTGGATCCAGATTGGCTGACGTAGCCTACTGATTTCAGCCCCCTGAATGAGCTCAACAAATATGTCTAAAGTAGATGCTGGAGTCACACTGGCGTGGAAAGGGTGCTTGTTGAAGTCTTTGCCTTTCTCAACTCCAGGGAGAGGAACTACTTGGGCTTGAGGGTTTGTTTCAGCAAAAATCTAGAATAAGCCATATCATTTTGCACTTAACCATGATGAAGTCTTTTATTGCATTTGTAAAAGTCCCCAGAGGCTATTACTCAAAAGGGCTCGGCTAATAAATAGGAGAACTAATAATTATCTTATTTCAGATTGCTGACTGTGTGTAACTGCCGCAAGGGGTCAAAAGTGCCTGGTTTGCACAACATCTCCCTGGCATTCTTACATGTGTGGTTATGGAATTGGTGCAGTGAGGGGTCAGGGAGCAGAGGGGTTTGCATGCGCTTGATCTCTTTCATATCAGAGCTACTTTCTGAAACCCAGCACAGGGAAGGTGAGTGTGTTGGATGCTTTGGGTGGGGCCATGAAGTCCTGTGGGTGTTCAATCTCGGCCCCATCTGGGGAATTCCCCTGGCAGGGTTCTCATCCAGACCTTAAAAGTTGGCAGCGTCCCCCAGGAACTACCCTGTGAACAAATCCACGCTTCTGGAAGCATGTGAGTCTACAGAAATACCACATTCTCTTCCACATGGGCTTTTGGCTCTGAGTCCCCTGCGCTTCCTCAGCCTATGTACCCACTGAAGAAGACAGTTGTCTGAATGTGGGGAGGGTGGAGGCGGGCTTCATGCTGGCATGGTTTCACTTTTAGATGTTGGTGCTTTGCACGTGCCCATATTGAAGTGCAGCGGGCACCAGGGCTGTAGACACCTTTGCCCAGAGTGGAAAGGGGCTGCTAGGTACTGTGCATGGCTTAAGAGGTACTGAGATGTTTAGCTTTGCTCTGAAAACATGACCTGCTAGCTAGCTCCAGTTAGCTGAAATGCTGCAAATAGAGCTGTATCTCTTTACACTGTTATTGGGAAGGTGTCTTGGTTTTGGCAACTCAGCAAGTATTAGCCTTCACTCTCTATGAGAATAGGTTTGTGGGGTCAGGGCTCTCGAGGCATAATTCACATACAGCAAACACTTCCACTTTCTTGGTACACACAACACTGAGTTTGGCCAGTGTGTGCAGTCCTGAAGCCACGTCAGGATGTAGAGTGTTTCCTTCATGCCAGAGTCCCCTGTACCCTTTAGAGCTGTGCCCACCATAGCCCCCAGCAACCACAGATCTAATTTCTGTTCCTTCTGCCTTTTTCAGCATGTCATGTACATGGGACCTAAGGTGGTAACCTTCACCCAGCTGGAGACTTCAGAGAGTATTCGTACTGGGGACCAGCAGCCTGTGGTGTTGTCCCCCAGAGACGGGGAGAGAGCTGCTGCCTGCAGAGTGGCTGCTCCTGCTTCACATGCCCCCTGGCTTCTGAGTCCCTCCATCCCCTAGCTGGGCACGAGAGTACCAAGAGGCCCAGTAGGAGGAGAAGCCTTCATGGAAGACAGAGGGCAAGAGCAGGCCTACCATGCTGACTTCCTCGCCTTGTGTCTGGCTGACTGCACAGGCGTGAGGAGGTAACCAACAACAGAAACAGATCCGGATGAACGAGCAAAAAAGACTTGACTGAACAAGTTTCCCCAGAATGGAGAGGAACGGGGGCAGCTCTGGGGGTGCATGGCAGAAGCTGGTGGACCATTTCGCTGACACCCCAGGAGCAAATCAGTCCGACTTGTGTTTGGCCCTTGAGTCCTCCCTGCTCAAGGCTTGGAGCCCTGGAGAATTGAGGGCAATCACCATACTGCATGCCATGATGGTGGCTCCCCTGGAGGAAGTTGGGGTGCTGAGACTAGAGCATGCCTTCTCCAAATGTTGACTTCCCCAGGAAAATACCAGCTCCCCTAAATAAGAATGTGTCTATCTGCGAGGGTGATAGTGTCACCCTTGTTATTCATACATTCCGTGGGCCTGAGAACTTAGCTGGAATATACTGTGTTAAATAGTAATATTTATTCTTATTTGAGTTGTTTTCTTTTTAGGGGTTGTTTCTAGCTGCCACATTTATCTTCCTTCAGTGTTTCCACATTTAACATTAGTATTTTCATGTTATATTTGTAGGAACACATATACGCTTGTTCCCATGTCTTGAGCCCCTTGGTGCTAATTACATTGTCAGTTTTATGTTTTATCTATTAATTTTGTTAGAGATAAGATGTTTTTTCTCTGTCACTCAGGCTGGAGTGCAGTGGCACCACCATAGCTCACTGCACCGTGAACTCCTAGGCTCAAACGATCCTCCCACATCAGCCTCCCGAGTAGCTAGGACTACAGGCACAAGGTACCATGCCTGGCTAATTTTTGTTGTTCTTGTTATTTTTTTGTAGGGAAGACGTCTTACTATGTTGCCCAGGCTGGCGCCAAACTCCTGGTCTCAAATCATCTTCCTACCTTGGCCTCCCAAAGTGCTAGAAGCACGCAGTTGCATTTTTAGGTTATATCAACTCTGCTATGCTATCCTGAGAATTGCCTTTGGACTTTGTCCTTAAATAAACAAAGGACTGAGCTGATCCTATCAGCCCAGAGCAGCAGCCTGGGAGCCACCATGGGACCCAGGAAAGCAGCCCTAAATGCCTTGCTTATGATGAAATCTCTTGAAAATAGCCCAACTTCTGTCTCCTGCCTGTGAAATAAGCATGACTCTCTGATTCTCAGAGCTGAGATTTTGTGAGAAAGTTGTCAGGAGCACACTGGGGGAAGTGTAATTAGAAATACATGTTATGATCCATTAGAATGACAAGTTGTATATGTCCATTGTACTTTAAGGCATTCAGTATATTCTGCTGTGTTTGTGAGTACTTTAATCATGTTAAAGAATGCTATCCTGAAACTTGTCTGTCCCTGCGATTCACACTTGATCTCAAGTTGATTGTGTTTTGGGAAAAGGAAAAAAAACACATTAGCATGTTATTTTTTGACATTATATGACGGTTTTCATGGATGTACACTGTGAGGGAGGTGTGCGAGACATGTTCCAGCCCAACCCTTGTTCTTATGAGGCTTGGAGGGATGACTCGCTTCCTTAAGGTCACCCAGCTGTGTGAGTCACAGCTGGAATTTAGACTAGGGTCTCCTTAGCACCTTCGTTCTGAGTTCTTTCTTGAATGGGCAACTTCTGTGATTTGGAGCACGACCAGACGTTTAACTACAGTGGGTAGAGCCAGCCAAAGGTTGCAAAACTTTTCTACTTCTTCCTTAATGGCTAGGAATTGGTGATCAGAAATAACAAATACATGTCAAGGATGTTAAATTGTATAATATTTTGGGTTTGAAACAGACATGATAAAAAGGCTCAATTATGGCAAGCCTTCAAAGTTAAACTGTCCCTGAAAACAGTGACAAAGAGGGTCCAGGAACGGTAAGGGAAATGTGGTATTTTGTTCATGTTTATGTTTGGCTGCAGTTTACCAAAAATGAAGGTTGATACAATTCTCTCTTCCAGACTGTGTATAAGTTGGCAAATGACAGGAACAACATTTGCTTCTAATCACCCATCCATCTTAATAATGTCGAACAGATACAGTGCAGAAACTATTGCACAACCACCAGCATTTCATGACATCGGAATCCTTGCCAATTTGAAAGAGGTCCTTGAATCCGGGGAGAGTTACATCTTTATGTTTTTGATCATGATCCTCTTGGAAGATACTTATTAGGGACGTTTGTTGATGACAACATTAAGAATTAACAAATTATCTTCTTAAAGTATAACAAAAATTTAATGGTTTCATTAGAGAACTATAAAGTCTGTTATTTAAGAGGGAAATATTGTGCTGTTTAAAAGCAGGAAAGAATTACTGAAGGACTCTTCCTGGTCTCCTTTCTAGAACTGAGGCAAACTCAGCTATTGTAGTCAAAAGAATTTTTTAAAAAATTAGTAAAGAAAAGAACAGAATCTTTGTACATTGGATGCCAACCAAGTCTCCTAATACCTGGGAAGTTATCAGTCACATAAATGCCTCGAGTTTGCATTTTTTTAAGCTAAAAAAGGAAAGTGAATTATTCTAAGAAGTTCTACTTTCTCCTCTACATGGGAAAAAGGCCATTTCTGTTGTTTGGGGCCTGGTGTGGGAAAACAGGAAGGGTGTCTGATGAGGAGTGCCCACCTGTAAGTGTGTGTCACCAGAGAGTAGGAACTGCCGGTCATTCCCGGTTCCCTGCAGACCCCTCTTTCTAAGCAGGGTTCTGCTTGCAGCCCTTGCGTGGGTTTGTATCTGGCATGCCTCGGAAGTGAGAGCTAGCGGGGCCACCCTCCCTGCAGGGGGCTGCATTGTCTGGTGCACGGAAGCTCAAGGGTCTGGGTGCCTGCATGCCGTCTCCCAGATGGATATGGTCTCCTCTAGAAATAGCTAGTTCTGGGTGAAGTGGGAGGTACAAAAGGCAAGTTCTTCACGCGGCAGAAACCATTTACCGGCATGGGGAGTCTAGCGACCATTGTAATAACAGTGAATTGAGACGATGATTATCTGAATGGTTCAAAGAATTCTGAGCTTGGAGCTGCAACCTCTAGGTTCCGGACCCACATCTGCCACTAAGGAATATGTAAAGACATACGGTGGGACCCCACTTTCTCCAGTGCAAAATTAGGGTTTCTTACTGAGCCGGAAAGTATGTGGTTGATCCAAGAGAGTCGATGAGTTTAGCTTTGTATTTTGCATGTGAAAACACATCTTTTGAGGCAGAAAAAATACCAACTTTGTGAAACTGTGCAACAATCGGACCAGAGTGGGCACAGGTGCTTCTCCTTAGGGATGCTTCAAAATTCGTGGGCTACACTCTAGGGGTCCCCTAGGAGAACCCATCTTGGTCTGTTGGGGGTGGGACTTTCCGATTTTTTAAAATAGAATTTATGTGGGGTCAAGAATCTGAGGCACAATTCTAGAGGGGACCTAGTCAGGCTCTTTATCCTTAGCTAAAGGGCTTGGAGTTCACCCTGGGACGGCTGGAACTCTTGACCTCCCGGGCTCATTCGCAGACAGCGGAGGCGCAGGATGACCGTGGCCAGTTGGCCCCGCAGACTCCTGCTTCCCGCACTGATGGGAACCATGTCTAAACAGAAAGGAGACTTCAGGCTGAGGAGACTTATGGCAACGAGTGCGTCGTTTCCCAGAGATGTTTTCAGCCCCCAAAGGCAGCCGACGTGGTCCCTGTCTGCAGAGAGGGCCTGGCTGGGCGGACCGGAGAGGCCTCCGGAGCTCGAACAGCGGCCAGGCTGGGCGGGGACGGCGGCGCAGCGGTGCACTTCTCCCCACCCAACTGTCCACCGTGGCCCTGACGGGTTTTCGACGGGGTGGAAGGGAACCGTGGTCGTTTAAACGCGCGGACAGGGCGGGCTCGCGGCGGCTGTGGGGGGCCAACTTGGGTTGCTTTGAAAAGGGACCCATCCAGCTCTGGACCCACAGCTGCAGCTTCAGGAAGACTTGACAGGTGTCAAAGGGCGTTTCCCAAACCAAACAGACCCCTCGTCCCCCGTGTCGGCCGAGGGTCACTCGGCTGCCCCTCAGCCTGGTGTTTGCGCAGCTGGGCCCGGGTTCCTTTGGCCCGGGAGGGGCGCGCTGGGGCGGGGGTAGGTTGGAGGAGGAGGAGGGGGGAAGGGTTGGGCTGCGGCGGGGAGAAAAAGGCTGGAGGAGGGGGCGGGGGAGGGGTGCGTTGGAGCGGGGAGAGGCGGGAGGAGGGGGCGGGGGAGGGGTGCGTTGGAGCGGGGAGAGGCGGGAGGAGGGGGCGGGGGAGGGGTGCGTTGGAGCGGGGAGAGGCGGGAGGAGGGGGCGGGGGAGGGGTGGGTTGGAGGAGGGGGTAGGGAAGGGGCTTAGAGGGGAGGGTAGGCTGGAGGAGGGAGTTGGGGTAGGGGTGGGCTGGAGCAGGGAGGGGTGAGAGCCCTGCCCTTGGCAGAGGGGTGTCACTTGGGCGCTTCCAGGCCCCGGGGCCTGGACACTGTGAGCCCCGAGCTCTCCTCCCGCACCTGCGAGGAATGTAGTTTTCTGGGCATATGCTGGAAGGAGCTGTCGGGCTCGAGAGGTCCCACCGCCACTGTGAGGCTGCTGCCTGAGGCCGGGGTCCTGCAGCAGGACCCAGACGCCTTTCCCAGGGCCGGCGTGCCTGCGGCGACGAGCGGTTCCGCGGAATTCCAGCGTCACCTGAACTAAAAGCAGCTCTGCAGCTTTCAGCGTTCATTGAGAAAACGGGAGCTGGTGCTGTCGCCCTTCCTTCTGGGCTGCCTCCGGCCCAGCACCGAGAAACCGAAACTCCCAGGAGCTGGGGGTGTGTAGGAGGGACAGGGAGGGGGCCACAGCCCAGGACCCTCCCGCCCCGCCCACCCAGTGTGATTGTCCTTCTGGTCGTGGGATGCAGAGCTTGGAACTGGTAATGAAATAGGGGTGCAAAACTCATGCTACTCTTAGGAGTCTTTAGACTTTAGAAACACTTACAGTCCCTGGGGAAACAGAGAAGGGTCCCAGAAGCCAGGAGGGGACAGCAGTCTACCAGACTCCAGGGTGTTCATTAGCAAGGAAGGATTTATTTTTTCTTTTGAGGGGAGGGCCGAACAGCCGTGATTTTTGGAACACTACCTTTGTCTTTCACTTGGCTGTTTTCTGTGTTAACACGAATAAATCAGAAGCGACTTTAAATCTCCCTTTGCAGGACTGAAAACTGGCTTTACAAAAAATGTTAAAGTAGGCGGCACTTTGCCTCTGTGGGTGAGGCACGCAGCGAGAGAGACAGGGTCCCCTGAAACCAGAGGTGGAAAGGACTGAGCTGGCTGACTCCCCTCCTCTCCCTAATTCTCTCCATGTGTTTTCAAGAGGAAAGCAACATGAAAAGGTCTGATTATTTCTACCCAGGGAACTTTTTGTGCCCTGCCCCTAGTTGCTAGTCTGTTTCAGATTTATTTTTGGGTCGCATTATTGGCCCTGTGGGTGCAAATGCCTACTTCTTGCCATAATTCAACCCTATTATCACTCTTTATGACTATTACACAGATGTAATTCAAATCAGTCAAGACTCATCATCTGTTAACTGAACTTACGGAATATTTTTTTCTCTCACATTCCTGCCAGAAGACACCATCCTGAAATAAACGCCACTCTCTTTCCCCACCTCACTATATGTAGAGCTCAAATCATCCTCCTGTCGTGGGTAATATAAGATCTACCCAAGAATGGCAGCCATGGCAATAAGGCCCAAG